TTCAGTTCAAAATATTTTCTAGTTTGCATTATGATTTCCTTTAAACGATATGGATGTTTTAGAAACAGTTTTAAAAAATTTCTGAACATATGAGGACCTTCTAGTTCTCTTTTTCATTTTCATTACTAGCTGAATTTCAATGTGATCAGAAAATATACACTGTATGATTTCAATCCTTTGAAACTTGATGGGTCAGTAATCAATTTCATAAACTTTCCTGTGCCTTATATATGTTCAGTAGATGTTGGTGCTGTGTTCTTTATATGTCCATTAGGTCAAGTGTGTTAATTATGCTGCTCAAATTTTCTATTTCTATGCTAAACTCTTGTTTCTTTGTGGAACAAATAACCAAAAGAAGTGTGTTTAAAAGCTCCTTCTATGGTCATGAATTTATTAATTTCTTTCTTATAGATGTATCAATTTTTGATTCATGAATTTTGACATGATATTATACATTTCATACAAATTTGAAAAAGCAATCCCTATGCTATATTATCTTAATCTCTAATAACGCTTTTTTGTCTTGAAATTCATTCTTTATAATATTAATTTGTTATACCAGCATTTTTGTGGGAAAGGAGTTGTAGTCTTTATATGGTATATATTTTTTCAGTTCTTTTACTTTTAACCTTTTTGTGTCTTTGTATTTCAGATATATCCATAGTAAATAGCATATAATTGGAATTATTTTTCAGACCATCTTTATCCTTTATTTAGAGCATTTACTGATAAATTTAGTTTTTTATCTAATTTATTTTTTTAAATAATTTGTTTTATTTTTCTCTCTGTACTGCCTTATTTGGACTTTTGTTTTTCTTATGTATTTTAATGCTATCATTTGATTAACTTCCAAAAATATTATTATTGTTGCTTATAATATTCAATGGTCATTTAGATTTATCCCCTTTTCAACACTTCCTTTGCTCTTCATTTCTTCTTGCATTCCAGACCTTTCCTCTAGGACTATTTTCCTCCTGCCTGAAGTATTCCCTGAGAATTTTCTTTTGAGAGGGTCTAATGGTCACATACTCCTCAGTTTTTGTATAATTGAAAATGTCTTTATTTGTCTTTCATTCTTGTAAGATTATTTTGCTGTGTGTAGAATCTGTTGACAGTTGTTTTTTCCCCAACACATTCAATAGATATTCTTCTGTCTTCTGGCTTCCAATATTCTTATGAAGAAGTCTGTCAGTATACTTGGTGCTGTTATGAAGGTAATTTCCTTCTTTCTTTTTTCTAAATTTGTCTGTTTTAAGATTTGCTTTGCTTGGTTCTCTGAGGTTTTACTCTGGTGTGTTTAAATGTGAATTTATTGTCATTTGTGTCACTCCAGAATCATAGGCTTCTGGAATGGGTTGATGGTGGCTTCCCTATCTACAGAAATTGCAGCCATAATCTATCCCTATGTGCCCCTGTCTCATTCTCTCTCCTCCAAAACTCCAATTAAATATGATTCAACATTCTCGCTTCATTTTCCATCACTCTTAACCTCTCTTCCATATTTTCCATCTTTTGTTCTCTCTGCTCTGCATTTTGGATAACTTCTCTTGACCTATCTTCTGGTTCACGAATTCTTTCCTCAACAGTATTGATCTGCTGTTAAACACACCCATCTTTTTTTTTCAAATCTGCTAGGTCACTTTTTATAATTATCTATTTCTTGCCAATATTTTCAAGTCTATTTTTTATTTGTTTAAATGGGATAAGCACGCTTTATCTTTATACCAAGTGTGTAGCAGTTTGGGACCCAAGTTTCACAAACGGATGGATGGGTTCTGGGTGCCCATCTGCTCCCTGTGCTGTACAGGCAGTGGAAGCTACAGCTCATTTTCTTCTGCTTAAGCAGATGTCCTCGGGACAAAAGGGGACTTTGTCTTTGACTTACCATTCTGAGTTTTTTCTTGCACTTAAATTTTAACCTGATAATTGTTTATGTCTTTTCCATGCTCTGAAGGTTTTCTTCAAAAAAGTTTAAAAACCTTATCCAGCATTTTTAGCTGTTTTCAACAGGAGAGTTTGCATGAATAACCGAGTCCTACATGTTTCCAGAATACACACATTCACACACACACGGCACAAGCTTATTGAGAATTCACAACTCATTGGTGCATAAACATGTGCATTGGTATCTTCTTCAGTAAAGTCTTAGCTAGAGTCCATAACTTTTCAGTCACTTTTACTTTCTAGAAAAATCTTATTTTTGTGTTTAATATGTAGTTCTTAATTCTTGACTCAAAGCTTGGCCTCTCCCCTTCTCCCTGCTTGCTCAGGGTAAGGAGGAAGGGGTATGGCAGTGTGGTTAGGTTCTAAGACCTCTCCTTCCCCTTTCTCTCCCAGGCACTGATTCCTTCAGCGTTGGTGACACAGGGGAAAGAGCGGACAGAGGCCTGCTCGCCTAAATGTTCACTAGACCCTATCTTTGCTCTGGCTCAGCCTGTTATCTGATATGGGGACCTCTGTTGATGTGGAGAGCTCCTCACGGGCTGTGAGTGTGATTTTCTTGGGGTGGTGATTGGCTTCACCTGGACACGTTCTGGCGCTCAAGAGCCTTCTCCAGAGAGCAGGAGTGTCGGCCCACCTGCTCTATGTATTCTCAATGCCCTCTCAAAGTTGAATACCTCATTACTTGGCCCTCAAAAAACACATTTGGACAGGCTCAAGGCTCCTGTCTCATAATTCCCATGCTTTTTTATGTGGAGCCAGAAAAACTACCAGTGTCTTTTTGTGCCCTACAAGACACGGAGAAAACAAGAATGGAGTGGGGGTTGGACCACTCTTCTTTCCAAGTACTTTATATCCAGCACCATTGATACATCCTTTCAAAGATAGTCTCCTACTTTCAGAACTCTCCAAGCTAAGTGTACCCCCAAACCTCAAGGGACATATGGCAAGCAAACCCTCTTTCCCCCATAGATGGAAAAAGTTGCTAAAATCTAACTGCTACATTCCTAGATTCTCAGATCCCCAAGTGCTTTCCCAAGGAAAGGACCCTCAGCATGGTCTGTTCCCATATAGGAAGCACATACATGAGTCTGTCCCTGAGCCAGCACCTAGCTGAGAATAAGTTGCTGGTGTCCCACCTTACAGTCACCTCCAACACTTAGGGAGGATTCTTTTGGAGTTCCCCTCACTGGGCTTCAGGCAGGAGAAAACACCCTCCTCTTCTTCCACGTGGGAGAGGAAGAAGCCTCCTCTTGCCTTTCCTCTTCATCTTCTGTAAAGCGTGGGTGGGGAGAGAGTGAACTTGGTGCCAGGGCTGCACCGGACTTCCCAGTGGGGCCGCAGGAGGAAGGCTGGCCCCAGACCTGACGGCTAGAGTGTGAAGTCATGACTGCCTTTACCCTCAACTGGCCTCAGCCTCAGCTGTGGGAGGTCAGGCAGGATCCAACTCATCATCTTGTTGACAGCTGATATACTCTCAATTGGTTTACCTCCAGATGGCGACAGTTGCTCTTCTCGTCTCCGTGGGGGGCTCTTGGATGATTTAAAAATATTTCTTCTCTTTTTTTTCTTTATCTGCATCTATATTTCCTATTTTTTCTCTGAGGGGCATATATTCACTGTATAATAAAAATAAAGAATTTTCTCTGTATGCTCCACCTTTATTGACAGAAAATTGCTGGACACCCTTAAAATTATTCATTGAATTATTATTAGTTACATTTTAGTTTACTGGCAACTTGCTTGAATCCTCAGATGTGGAAATGAATTCCTTACCTTTTGACTCTCTTTTTTGTTATGCACTTGAAATTCTGCCACCACATTTTGTTTTGACTTTCAATTCATACTTTAATAAAAGTAATTTCTGTTTCAAAGCTGTAAAGGAAATGGAAAACTGAAAATTAAATTAAATGTTATACTTAATCTCTGACTTAGCATGAAAATACCTCCTCCAAACAAGAGATAGTGGAAATGATAATTGTTCTGTGCCAGCCATCCTAAGAGAAAATTTAAAATATGCAGATATGGGCTTCTTCTGAGACAGCAAGCTCAGCCTTTGCCTCCCTGAGGTGGAGAGGAGCTCACTGGCATTCAACCGAAGGACTTCCTTGATTGGATTGAACAAATTCTTTGGTCAGTGCAGGACACAGAGCACTGGGAAATGGTTCTTGACCAGCCTGGTACTTTTCCACTTCGTCCTGGCTAGCTCTGTGTTCTTTTCAGTTGCACTTGTTCTCCCCATACATCAAGTTCGTTGGGCAATACTTTGACTTTTCAGACGAAAATTCTTGATTGAATATCATTTGAATGTTTTTCATTCTGGCATCATGACCTAAACAAGGCAAAGGGTTTTCAATTCCATTTAGCATGAATTTATTAGGCATCTTTGCCGTGCCAAGCTCTGTGCTGGACACTATTAGCGACTGGGGGACAGGAGAAGCAACCCTAAGTTGTGCTGAATCTAAACAACAAAATGATGTCCTTCCGTGCCTCGTGACACTGATCTTATTTGGACACTCCTTAAAGAATGTAGTCTCTTCTCTCAAGGAAGTAACAGTTTAGTGCAGAGGATAAGAATTCCACATATCAAACAACTGAAAGGCAAGAGAAGAAGAAAATTACTCAGCGCTGAATCATTTGGTGAGGTTAACTGATGAGGGGCTCAGGCACGGAAGGATCTGGGAGCAGCACTGGTGGACAGTGGCTACTGTAGACGGAGGGAGTCAGATGAGCTGGAAGAATGGATGGGCGCTGGCCAGGCAGAGCCAGGCAAGGACTTTCTGTGTGTGGATAAGTTCTGTGACCCCATGCGCGTCCACAAACGCTAAAAAATGAAACAAAACAAAGAACAACAACAACAAAAACCCAGAGGGGCCAGTTGACAAGTAGAAGAAGAGAGTTTGCAATTATTCGTGATATATATATGTGAAGTAGTAATATTTTAAAATATTTGTCAACCAAACAAGTAAGCCAAAAAAAACAAAAACTAACTAAAATGACAGGGTTTTAATAAATTGATGTCCTGAGCCTTATTTAGTCCATAATGTTTTTTATGAATGGTATGAAGAAAGGATAATAGCACATATATGGACCCTTTATACATATACTGTCTCATTTAATTTATATAACAATGCTGTGAAGTAGGAATTGCATTTGGTTACTGGTAAAGAGACGGGAAAAATAGCGGCCGAAACAAGAAAGGGGTTTATTTTTTTCACATTAAAATCTCCAGAGATGGTCAATCCTGGTCCAGCTCCATGGCTATCAGAGACCCAGGCTTCTTTCACCTCTCTCTTCACCAGACACAGTGAAGGGCCTCTAGTCTCTTGATAGCCTCATGGTAGCAAGATGGCTATTTTAGCTCCCACCATCACATCCATGTTCCAGGTGGGAGGAGGAAGAAAGGAAGCTGAAATGCAGAGGGGCACACCTCCTAACTCTCTTTAAAGGAGATTCTAGGTTCTCTGTAAAGAGATTTCCAAAAAACCCACTTCAGTGATTTCTGAACCATGATCTCACCCCATCTGCAAGGAACGATGGGAAAGGCACTTCAGTTGATCATATTCTGCCCGCATGGACAGAGTCTGTGCTGGGAAGGAGGGCAGGGAGGCGGTACCTCCTATCAGCCAGGCTGCGGGAAGCGAGCCCCCAAGGTGCCGAGTGGCCTCCCCGAGCCACACGCCGGGTCCCGAGCGCCGCTCCGTCCGCCCTCTGCGCAGGCCCGCGCCGGCCCTTCGAGGCGTGCGGCCCCCGAGGCTGCCTCAGGCCTTCCCGCGGACGTGCTGAGCTGTCCTCCTCGCGGGGTGGACCCTTTCCGGCTGCCGGGAGCTGCTGCGTCAGTGGCGGGGGAACCCGACCGAGCGAGCTCCCACCTGTGCGCCTGGGCGGCCCGTGCGGTGGGGCGTGGGAGGCGCGCTTCCTGGGCGTCCTGGGAGCCGAGCTTCTGCGCAGACGCGGCGTCTGCTGTCCCACGTGCTTCCTTTCAGCTCTGCTGACCTGGCCCCTCCCTTCAGCCCCTCCCGCTTAACATTTAGCCATTTGTCTTTCTTTCCCCGACATCCACCTGTCTGCCTCTCCCGGATCTGACGCCCAGTTACGAACTCCGTTCTCCAGAGAGATTGTGAGCAAAGACACGTGCAGGGGACGTGTTACTCAGCCTCAATCCTCAAGTGCAAACTATTTTTTTTAACATTTACTCTGCACAGATCACTGTGCCAGGAACTACCGGGTTGATTACGAAACATAAGGTAGAGTCACGCTTGACCTCAAGGAGTAAACAACCTCATCGCGGAAATGGAAGGCGCACTAAGCGACAGGTAATCGTGCAAGGAAGTGTGGAAGCGCCGTGAGAAGAGAGAGCACCGTGAGCGAAAGTGTTGGGAGGAAAGACAAGCCGCTTTTGACTGAGGAGGTCGGGGACAGCGTCACGAGACGAGAGAGAATGGATTTGATCCCTGTTGAAATTAGGAAAGGGGAAAGGAGGTAAGAAGTTTGTCAGGTGGAAAGGTCAAAGTCACAGCTGTGGGAGCCCTCCCGGACGTGGTTGAGAGCTGGGAGGGGGTGGGTCTGAGGAAGGTAGTTGGTTACTATGGGAAAGGGGGGCGGGGGAGGGCACTGGAGAGCTAGCTTGGGGTCAGATGATGGAGAGCCTTGAGTGCCGGGCTGAGGAATGCGGATTGCACGGACACCTGGACGTTATCCAACTCGCAGGTAGGACTCAGAGCAGCCCTTGAAAGTCCTGACTGAAAAGGACTCTCCAGGCCTGTGTAGACTGTGTTCTGTAGGATGGATTTCCCCGCCTGGCGTTCCTTCTCAGATCTGCGATGAGCTGGTGCGGGCCCCACGGCCTCCCTTCCTTCTCCTGCAGCCTGCTGTTCCTTTGCACTGGCCCCTCCATCAGCGCTTTTACAAGGATGAGAGAAAAGGGAACCGACACCAGTCCGTTTTATGAATTGCGTTTTACCAGTCTTACTAAAGGCTTCAGAGAAAAAGAATCTGCCAGCAATCTCCAGAATATGGCCTTCGGTTATTAAGTGGTTGTGTCCAAGAGGACAAGCAAGTGGTGAGGGCGACTCTAGGAGCACTGTGGGTGCAGGTGTCACACGCTGAACAGGGGGCACTGCGGCTCTTCTCTCTGTGCCTGACTTTCTGTCATTGATGCTTGTGAATGAGGCAGCTTGCAAAATGGCGGTGGTAGTCTTGGTTCTGTCCAGTCCTAGGAAGAGAGTTAGGTAAGGATGTTAGTAGTGGTTTCACTTCCCAATAAGCAAATTCCTTTAAGCAGTCTAATATTATCTTATTTGGAGTTATTGAGGATAATTTTGGGTTGCAAGTAATAGACAACCTAACCCAAAGAGGCTTAAGCGTGAAAGGAATTAGTTCACAGTGGTTACAATGGACTAATGTTTGTGTCCCCCAAATTCATATGTTAAATCCTAACCCCCAAAGTGCTAGTATGAGGAGGTGGGGCCTTGGGAGGTGATTAGGTCATGAAGGTGGAGCCCTCATGAATGGGATTAGTGCCCTTAGAAAAGAGGTCCCAGAGAGCTCCCTCACCCTCTCTGCACCAAGTGAGGACACAATGAGAAGTGTGTGACACGGAAGAGAATCCTTACCAGAACCCAACCATGCCGGCGCTCTGATCTCAGACTTCCGGCCTCCAGAGCCACGAGAAATAAATTTCTGTTGTTTATAAGCTACTCGGTCTCTGGTACTTTGTTCTAGCAGCCCTGACTAAGACGGGGTCGTACATGGCTTAGTGAGGCTGGATCCATGGACTAACGCGATACAACCAGGACACTGTGTCTCTCCATCTCTCAACTCTGTTCCCAGCGCACTGTGTTATTTCTTACACTCCCACGCTAGCAAAATGGCTCTCAGTAGCTGCAAGTTTCAAGGTTCAATTTCAGTGGAAAAGAGCACATGCTTCCTCTCACAGCTGCAGCAAAGCTTTCCAGAGTGTATCTCTTCAGATCTGATGAGATGCTTGGTTTTCCAGGCTGAGTCCTTCCATGGAGTTCGGTATTCAGTCAACTACATTCAAAGTGCACGGACTGAGAATGGAAGAGAGAGTGATTCCCATGGTACCAATATGAGAAGAAGGGAAGGGATGCAGTGGGTGGGGTGGGAACAGTAAGTATCTACAGCTGTGATGTTCTAAAATGCCTCTCTTTTAGCAATACACCGCACAGCTGCCCCCATCCTTCTCAACTTCCCAGTTCCATTGTCACATGACATTTCTGAGAAGAGAATACATATAGCCCCAAATACCTAGTACCAGAGCCTAGAATATAATTTTAGGCTAATGTTTTGAGAATATGGGGGACTAGTCTTGGAACAAATGCTCCATGCTGAGGGGTTCACTTTCACTATAATAGTTCATCCTCAGAGCAGCCTTTTGAAGCAGACATATTCTTATTTTTTAGATAAAGAAACTTCAGTTGAAAGAGGTTAAGCATCTCACCCAGTGTCACATAGCTAAGCATTCGGACAAGAAATCTGGTCTTTCTGCTCAAAACCCATTGCTGCTGCGCTGTGCTATGCTGCCCCAAAGTCTGATTCCTTTCCCGGGCCTGTTCTCATTTCCACAGTCAGAAAGTTGTGCCATGCATGATCATGTTTTTTTTTCTCATTAAATTGTAAACTGTTGCCTGTTTGTGAAGATAAAGAATCTGAGATATGAGAGCTAAAGGAGGCCTTAGGAATAATCTAGTTCAAAACTAAAAATTCTGCTTCAAAAGACGAGGAGGCAGGCACAGAGGAGCTTCAGTCGTCAGGATCCAAAGAACAGGCAGTGGCCCTTCTTTCCAGATCCATTTGCCGGCTCCTCCACTTTGCCTCCTTGCCTGAATATGACTGTGGAAAAGTTATTTTAACCTCTCTGGCTTTAGTTTGTTCCTCTGTAAAATTAGGGGCAGAGTACTAAATTTCATTGATTGCCGAGTGCACATTATTTCACATTTTAAAATGTAAATGTGGGGGCCGGCCCCGTGGCTGAGTGGTTAAGTTCGCACGCTCTGCTTTGGCGGACCAGGGTTTTCGCAGTTTGAATCCTGGGTGCAGACATGGCACCGCTCATTAAGCCATGCTGAGGTGGTGTCCCACATGCCACAACTAGAAGAACTCACAACTAAAAATACACAACTATGTACTGGGGGGCTTTGGGGAGAAAAAGGAAAAATAAAATCTTTAAAATGTAAATGTGGCTTAAATGGAAAGCAAATCATAGTTTTAATTGTTTTTACTTTCTTGACAGCGCATGTCTCACAGTCACTGAGGTCTTAGACTCTGAAATATGGAAAAACAACTTTCCTGGGGTTGTTGCAGAGACGTAATAAAACAATAAAAGGAAATCCTTTAGGATAGTGTCTGACACATAGTGAATGCTGAGGAAGTGTGCTGCTGGTGGTGGTGACGGTTACACTGTGTGTAAATAAGAACGTGTGTATGCCCATGTACTCTTTTTAGGAGATAAAATTGTCCCTAGGCTTTGTCGCCTTTTACAGCTTTGTCTCTTTAGCTTGTGGGCAACACAGTGGTTTTCCTTTCTTATTCTTTATTCTGGAGTGTTGTATCCCAGAACTTAACCACAGCCCCCAAATCCATTTGAATTATCCAGATTATTTTTTCCTTTGTTCAAATCATGTGGCAAAGTGACAAACTGTCACTCATGTTTGTGTTATATACATACAGGATATAGCTTGTACTGCCTTTCCTTGTTCATAATAGTTAATTGGTAAAAATAGTTTTGCCAATAGTTTCACTCAAAATTCTCAGCCCCGTCTTATTATAATACAAAAATGCATCAGAGCACAGGAAAATTGGCATGAGATTTTTTTTTTGAGTAGAGATTTATCTTTGCTTAGGCTAGTAACCATGGCTTTCTCTATTAAGAAGGGAAGTCTGATAGAATTCAGATCTTAGTTTAAATTGGCACAATATTAAACTAAATCAAGTTTTATTGATTTCTGAGACAAGTTTCTGCGTGTTTTGTTCATTGTATTTCAAGGCATAACTTTGAAAAGCACAATATTCTTTAAAAGATAGGGCACTCATGAAAAGACATTGTGTTTCTTTCCTCTAGTTCCCAAAATCTCATTGCCTATGGAGTTGAGATCAAAATGGGTGATATCTTTACTGTCTTGTTATTCAAAACTCACAGCTTCATATAATTCTTCTATTAGTCATTTCCCCCTTGTCTTTCAGAATGCCTATAAAATGATGGGTTATTATTTCCGCTACTTCTGTTAGTGTTTATGCCAGCAGGGGAAACATTATTTTATTATTTTTAGAGAATAAGAACTGTTTCTTGAACCAGGAAATTGACTTGCTATTTTAGCGAAATAAAGCAAAGACATCCTTCTCATCAGTCTCTACTTGATTTCCTCTGGGGAGCCTTCTCTATTCCCTAAAACTACCCCCTACATGAGTGAGAAGCCTTCCCCATCATATACTGTGCAGATCTCTATTTATTGCCATGTTCCATTATAGTATTGATTTGTGTTTCTGTCTTCTTCCTAGACAGGACGCTCCTCAAGCACAGGGACTGTGCCCATTTCATTGCTGTGTGCACATATCCTAGAGCACTAAATTTAAAAGCATGTTAAATGAAGAAAGGTCTAACTTGAAATCACTCTGAGAGCTCTGAGGAGAACTGTGTATTCAGTTTCAAAACTGAGGTTTATCCATTGGGTAGTAAGATTCATCACCAAAGTAGGTTTTAGTTTCTCAGAGCTGCACCTGCAAAGTTGCATGCACCACTTTAGGTAATAATCTGCTAGAGACACTTATAGGCACATATTTACTTAATATTAAGCTGGGCTAGAAAAGAAACCAATTTGAAACTGCTTCCTCAGCTGAAAGCTCTATGCCAACAATAAAGTTTAATTTCAGCAGCTGTAGTTCTCAAATCAATAGACTGCAAAGAGGGTGGCAGAATTTCAGTTTTTGGGCTTGAATACTAAGCAGGTCAGAAGTTGCATTATTTAAGAAGAAATTTACTAGATTTTAAGAACAGCTTTTCAAAAATTAGCCATGTGGATTTATATTATTTTCAATAATAATCTAAATCTCTAGAGTAAAAAAATAGTGTCCAACCATAAACACTCCTATTTATTATGTGAATATGAGGGATTTTTTAAAAAGCATTTATGGCTTCAAAAGAAATACATAAATTTGTAAGTGATAGATATCAAATCACAGTAGACAATTGGATATTCTTACCTGACAAAGAGTCTCAGAGTAGGTCTTTCCTATCCTTTCTTTAGACAGGAAATATTTTAGTAAGACCTCCTGGTTACTAGACTGCATTATGCTAATATCTGTTTTTCTCTTTTAGCAGTTTCTGCTCTAGAGTGGGACCATATGTGTGATGAACAGTGACCATGGCTATATTGGCCTTTTTACATCGGCCTTGTCTCCGTGAATGTGTTGTCTTACCTTATCTTTTAAAAACTAATGCTGGTAGTCACTGGGGCACAAGAGTATCAAATCATGGATATTTTTATAACCAAGAAGTCCAATTTGGGAAATAATTTTTTAAAATTAAACCACTTTGTCCTTAGAAAAGATTAACGGTCTTAAATCTCTCCAGGGTCATCAAAGCATGCACTTAAACGAGAGGGTAACAGGCTCCCTATCCTAGATGTTCATAGGTTGAGCAGGAGAGAAAGACTCATCTATTAAGATTTTCTAAGATCAGATTGTATAGGAAGGTCTTGAGGTGTTCTGAAGTAACAGGCAAGAGTTGTCAGCATTTCTGAAGGAATGTTGAAGGTTAAGATGATTAGTGTTTAAAATATAGAGACAGGGAAGGAGGCAGAGGGCCACAGATGGTGCTGAGTGGGGTCAGGACCCTGGACAGCTCTGTGAATCTTGATCTACTGCTGCACTTGTCCTCTTGTCAGCTTTTGGATATGGAGCCAACTCACTCATAGGCTTTGATTCTGACTGAGCTGTGGAATTTTAATGTCATGGTCATGATGTTTTAGGCTCTGGCCTTATTGAGGGGCAGGAGGATAGAAAATCAACTTCATCTACCTTTCATATCCACTGTGGGTTTCTGGCCTGACTGAGGTTTTGGCAACTTGGAGGCAATTTGTGTTAATTATGGGGTGGAGTGCAGGTGGGGTTGTAAGCTATCCTCATACTCTACCATATTTTCCCACCATGCATTTTCTCTCCTCACAGGTAGAGAATGATATGAGCAGAGCCCAAGACTACAAAAGAAAAGACGTTCCCAACTCAGTTTGTGGAGACTCTGAAGGTATTCAGTTAAGCACTTATTTTTCTCTCTCATTGAAAGGAAGAGAAACACAAGTTTTCTCTTTTTAATAATTTTGTGTAATTAAACTTCAGGCTCTTAGATGTGATGCATACTAATAAATTCTCCATGGAATCTTTTAGAAGTAAAGCACAGCTGTTCAATTCATGAATTTATTTTGCAGTGTCTTAATAAAATGTTTTCTGCAAAAAGAATTTTATTCTTTAGATGGCCCAAATGACCTTCTGTATTTTATCTTCTTTCTCATCTCTTTTATTTTTGGCCTGCTTCTTGATTGAAAATACTTGTCAGCTTTAGTACCTTATATTTATGGCGTCAGGGCAATTGTTTCTGAAAGCTGCGTGCCCATGTTCAGGATTTACCATTTTATTTCCTCAGTGCCAAATATTGTACCTGCTGAAGGAGCCTTTAAAGTCAGTGAGGTTAACTGGGATTATATTAAAGTATACGATCTCTGATTCTTTTCTTAATTTAGGTGTTTTACAGATTAAGTTATACTCTGGGTTTATTAAATATTGAACAAGATGATTTCTTATTTAGAAATATGGTTAAAAACAGAAAGAAAAAAATGAGGTAGTATATTTAATCTGAATCCACAAGGAGAAATTTTCCCACCCTCATTCAATATTTGACTGATTTGAATTAGGCCATATTAACAATAAAGTGGCCATTGAAAAATTGTTAGAGACTCCCTCCTCCTCTATGATGTACCAAAAAACACTGGATTGAGTTTTAATCCTTGAGATTTTGAAGACTTTCTTTCACGTCTCACTTATACAACCTTAAGCTGCCCATTCATCTCATTCTCCATCAAGTGTTCCTCCTGACCACTTTTTTTTTTGCTGAAGAAGATTAGCCCTGAGCTAACATCTTTGCCAATCTCCCTCTGCCTTATATGTGGGTTGCCGCCACAATGTGGCTGACAAGTGGTGTAGGTCCATGCCCAGGATCTGAACCCACAAACCCAGGCTGCCAAAGCAGAGCACAATGAACTTAACTGCCATGCCATGGGGTGGGTCCCCTGACCACTTTCAATACCAATCCCCTGTACCAACTTGAGAGAGGACATAGGATGGGAAAAATGGGAGGAGTGAAAGGATGGAGGGAAATGGAAATGGAAGAGGGTGATTTGAACTGACAAAAGTATGGACTTTGTCTATTTAAAATTTTTTCTATTTCTCGAATCTTTGATGCTCACACTTTGTGTATTACTTTCCGAATAGTAAACACTTTTGACATTCCTTTTCCTAGTGTGCCGGTGTGCTGTGAAACAGGGTCACAATGTGGTCGTCATTATATTCTATGTGAATTTCTCTTGGCAGTCCTATTTAGGATCATTAGCAAAAAATGTGCTTGGATAAATTTAGAGCATTAAAAAAATCCCTAACGAGGTAGCATCCTGCTTTATCACTCTTTCAAATAAATCTCTCCCTTCCTATGGCTGATCAGTCCTGGTAGTTGAGTTCATCTGACCAAGACAAATGGAGATTTCTCCAATACTTTGTCAGAAATCTAAGAACGTTCTATCAAGGTGTCTCTAGGCTTTAAAAAATGTAAAAACACTGTTTGATATGTTCTGATCAAAAATTGTTCCTTTCAATATTCAGGTGACTTTCACTCAGAGACATTCAAATGAAACTTTTTAAATTAATCACTAGGAAAAGGAATGTCAAAAGAATAAATAAAAGTATTTACTGTTCAGAAGATAATACACAAAGTGTGAGCATCAAAGATTTGAGAAACAGAGAAATTTTAAATAGACAAAGTCCATACTTTTGTCAGTTCAAGAGATTAAAATTTTTTTAAAACCCTCATCACTTAGAAGTAATTTGGGTCACAACAGCACTTGTCTCAACCCTCAGCCTCTTCCTTGACTTTCTCACTCTTTCATTTCTCTCTTTTTAGGTTTAGAGAGAGCCATATTTTGCAGGAACCTAAAATGGTAGCCTAACATTCACAACCTGGGAAGCCTCTATGGGAGGTAATCAAAGGACAAATACTCCTAATTTTCACACACCAAATCAGTGATATTTGTTATTTCTTTAGCAGACATGTACCAGTAGTATTCTGCTGTGGTAAGCAAGGTAGTTAGACGCTGGCCTCAAGGCATTTATAATTTAAAACCATCAGGAGGGATCAACACGCTGAAGCACATGTCAACAAGCAGGGAACTGCATAATAAATCTAGAGATGGAAGCCGGAGACAAGCTTCTAAGGAAAGCAATGTCTGTAGTCCAGAATTAAAAAGAAAGACTGCCTTCACTTTTTACAAAATGCGGGGAGAAGGAATTATAGGCGTATTAACCTTGTAAGGGATGCTTTTAAGCAAAGATAGGAAGCTGCAAATTTTGGTCATCTCAGCCCCTCATTTTTCCCCCTTTTGTGGCACCATTTAACCCCTGACACTTCGGTCATAAAGTGACTTCTGCTCTCTACCTATTCTCTACCATCTAGATCTAATTAGAACAGTAATTTATACCTTGGTGTCCATTTTATTCATTGGGTTTCCCTCTTTCAAAAGGTATGTGCCCTTAAGACTCACCTCTCTTGTGAAGTGAAAGGCTTCACACTCTGTTAATAGAATTTTAAACATTAAAATTAATAGAAATTTAAACATCAGCAAATATACGTGTGGGTGGGGGTGATATTTGAGAAATACACATGCTGTCTTGGACCACGGAGATTACAGCACGTGGATTGTATTATTTCTGCTATATGACGATGACGTTAGCTATCCTTTTTTATGTTTAAGCCACCTCGTAAAGCCTTTTCTTTATGTTTTATTGGTGTCTGAGTGAACTGCCAGAGTGATAGTAACAGTGATGATGTGAAGGTAACAATAATGATTTTCCTAATTGCTTAGAGTCATCAGATAAAGAACTCTGGAGTGCACTTCCTTTCAGCGCCGTATTTACAAGCAAAGATTTTTAATCTAGGCATTTAGGCGGTATTTGAATGAAGAAATATGATCAGAAACCTATTATGAGGAAAGGATGGGAATCTTGCCTGCTTTTTAGTGACAACTTTTCAAAATATGAAGGATGGCACAGGGAAGAGGCAGCGTAGTAACCTATGTTAGGAAGAGGCGGCTTCCCTGACCTGAGGCAAGTTCCTGACCCTCTCTGAGGCTCACCTTCTCCACCCAAAAAATGGGAAGGGTAGAGCCCACCCCACAAAGGCGTGGTGAGACGAAGACTTCTGGCTCAGTAAATCTTATTTCCCTATTCTTCTTCTGTGGAAAAAACCCAAAAATCTTAGGCCTGAATACAATATACAAAATGAAACTGACAGTGACCGCAGGGAGAAAACTCTTGCATATTATATGCCAATGAATACAAAGTGTCACAAATATGATGTATTGCTACAATAAACTAGCCCCAGTTTTGAAACTTACCTTGAACACAGGAAATATGAGAAGAGAATTCAAAGCAATCCCCCAAAACTTTAGAGAAACGGAATCGATTTTCCATCTCTCATAGGGACGGTCTCCTACCAAGTCAAATTTCTCCCCATCTAAAACCTTGTTTAAAGTCTACTTTGAAGCCTTCCTATAATAATTACACCGAATGTGACTTAGACCATCTTAATTCTATTGTGTGTACATGCTCACTGCATAATTCACATGTTCTTATGCTTCTATGATGTCTGCCTGTGTATTTGTTTTGCCAATTCCCTGCCAGTTGCATGTAGATTGTAAGAACTTGAGTGTCAGGTCATGCTGTCCTTGCGTGGTTGCTAAGTACCATGTGCTCCCTGTAGCCTTGATCTTACTTGACCTCTCAGAAGTGTCCGTCATCTGTTCCCACTTCTTCCTTCTTGAAACACTGTCCTTGGTTCCTCTGCTCTTGTGCTCAGCTGGCTCTCCTGTTCCCAGCTGCGCCTTCTCAAATTCCTTCACAGGTCCCTTTTTCTGACAACCTCTCGGAAGCTGATATTCCTTGGTGATCTATCCCCTTACCTTCTTCTCTTTTCCTTCAGTAGACGCTTCCTATGATTTTATCGGCTCCAGTGGCTCCACTAACATTCATATATACCGATAACTCCCATACTGGGAGCTCAGCACATTCTCTCTTCAGACCTCCAGTACATATTTTCAAGTGCTACTAGATATCTCCACTTACATGTCTCCCAGGCATTTCAAACTCAGCATATAAAAACTAAACATATTGTCTTCATCTTCCCTCCCAAAGCTGTCCTCCATTCCTGCATTCCCCTCTCTGGGAAGACACCTCTGTCCACATCACTGCCCAAGACAGAGGCCAGAGAGTCATCCTTCACTCTGTCTCTCCCTCATTCCATGACCGAACTAGATTCCAGTTCCTAATGATTTCTGCCTCCAAAATATCTCCTTGATTCTCTTCACTTCTTTGTGTCATCACTGCTGCTAACTTGGTAAACATCCACCAAATTTTTGCTGAATTATTGGAACAACTTTCTGTTCTCTCCCGGTCTCCTTGGGATGATGGCTTGCCCAGTACTACCCCATTCTCCATACTGTAGTGAAGTGGTCTTTCTAAATTGTAAATCTGATTCCAGACACACACCTGCTTAAAACACATAGATGGCCTTCGTAACCCTCCGGATAAAAATCCCTTGTCCTTAGCAAGGCCAGCCAGCTCTTCACGATGCCCCTTTCCTATCCAGCCTCATCTCCTGCCACTTACTTTCTCCTCACTGTCTTCTGAACTATTTGAAATTCTCCAGATGTGACATTTGCCCTTGTCTCTTTGGCCTCTGTGACTCCATTTCCTCTGCTTAAAGAAACTTCCCTCTCCCCACCTTTAACTAAGTTACACAGAGCATCGTTTAAGAATGATGGAGTTGCTTCTCCTCTTCCAAAGTTGAACAGTTCACCTTGGACAAAGTCAATTTTAATAGAAGAGAGCCAATCAATTAAGTTTCCTTGCGATCTAACCACATTAACTCTGGTAGAAGTTAACTCTGCAGTATGAACTGAGCTTGTTTAGATGACTGGTTCTGGACACAGATACCAGCTATTTATTTATTTTTCAGCTTTATTGAGAGAATATGATGATTTGATCTGCACATACATTGGGAAAGGATTGCTCATGTCAAGTTAATGAACACACCCACCACTTCACCTATTTACCCTTTTTTTGTGTGAGAGAACATTTAAATTCTACTCTCTTAGCAAACTCAAGTAGTACAACACCAGTGTTGTGAGCTATAGTCACCATGTTCTACATTAGATCCTCAGACCTTACTTATCTTGTGACCGAGTTGGTACCTTTTACTGACCTCTCCCCACCTCCCTCGCTCCCAGTCCCTGGCAACCACTCTTCAGCTCTCTGTCTCTATGACTTCAATTTTTCTTTTTTAGGTTCCACAGATAAGTGACACCACGCAGTATATGTCTTTCTGTCTGGCTTATTTCACTGAGCATGATGCCCTCCAGGTTCATTCTTGTTCTGGTCTCCAGAGAGGATCGCAGGCACGGCGTGTGCTCAATCAGATGCCCAGCCCTCAGGCAGCAGCCATTGGAGTGTGCACATGGAACCTCTCAGGGGAAGCCTGGGAGATGTGGATTTGGCCTGCTTCTCTGCACGGAGCCCTGGGGTGAAAGCCGTGGGGTGCTCTGTACCCCTTAACAACTGCTCCTTTGTTTGCTAGAGTCTGCGGGAATTTTCTTTACTCCCACTGGGAGTGACCAAGGCTGCTTGTCCCTCTAAACCTGCTCAAAAGATGATTGTGTAACTCCAAATTACTTCCCTCGTGCTGCTGAGTCACCCTAACTTATCCGCAAGTTTTCTTCCTGGAGGACCTGGATCCTACGAAGCAAGCAGAAGGCACACACGAAGCCAATCACTCTCGACCCCTACCCCAGGATCTCTCATCCTCTCTCCCCCCCAGCTAAAGCATTCAGGTCTAGAAATAAGGCATCAAACTCATCATTTTTTAATATAACAAGCATAGTACTTTTGACTAACACTTGGACATAAATTATTTAATACAATACATTCGTAGTCAGAATTCCCCACGTGGGCTGGCCCCATGGCCAAGTGGTTAAGTTTGTGGGCTCTGCTTCGGTGGCCCAGGGTTTCGCTGGTTCGGATCCTGGGCACCGACATGACACTGCTCGTCAGGCCACGTTGAGGCGGCGTCCCGCATAGCGGAGCCAGAAGGAGCTCCAACTAGAATATACAACTGTGTATTGGGGGACTTTGGGGTGAATAAGAAGAGGAAGAAAAGACTGGCAACAGATGTTAGCTCAGGGCCAATCTTTAAAAAAAAAAAAAAAAGAATTCCCCAAACATTACTGAAACAGATCAGCTTCCTGGTCAATAGCTTCTGCTTCTGTGATAGATCACTTTCATGTTCCCATTTGGTTTCCATTATCATTAGCAAGTGAATATTGTTTATTTTGCATCCATGAGATCTGAAGTCATATCCAAAGGCCTAAGCTGGACACTACAGATCAACTTCATTTCCATCAGAATCTGACTGAATGTTACTTGAAGAAGGCATTTGATCGTGAGGCAATTGTCCTTCTGTAATTTGCAATTGGATTTTCATAGGTCCACTCTCTGTCGCTACATTCTTCTTCATATGTTATTTGACATTTTTCTCATGAGCGTTTAGTACTACTGGTTCTTGGTAGATGGGTTCAGGACACAGGCATACATCATGTAAATTAAATGTGACATAGAAGTGATCAAGAATGCCAGCCAGAAACATTAATTTCCTGAAAATCTGGCTACCAGAACTATATACGGTGATCCAGATATGATAGGATTATTGCAGGGTGGAATTCAATCTTTTCCACGCTAGTCTTGGACGCCATGCTTCTCATAATGCAGTGAAGTTTGCAACACTGTGCCTTTGGCTCGTACCGAACTTTCCGTGAATAAAATCCCACAGCCTTTCTTCCACAAATGGTTAAGTCAGTTCTCCCACAGCCTGCAATTTTACCAGTGTTTGTCTAAGCCTAGACTTTAGCTTCATAGTTTTTCCCAAATACATTTTGTCTTATTAGTTTTAAGCACGTTTTCTGGCTGCTTGTCTTTGACAGCTTCACTCAGAAGAATCCTGCTCATCGATTCATCCCTCCTTCAGAATCTTTTACCCGGGACGCTTACATCCGGCTAAATCAGGACATTCTGAACCGATGTTATACTAAATGCCTTGAACTGCTTTGCAATCAATGCCTTGGAACGGAGTGGGGATGAGGGAAAGGGAAGAGAAGGAGGGTAAGAGATAGAATAAAACTGGAAGATGAGTAAATTTTTTTAACCTTGGAATCAAGAAGTTCATTATGAATATGACAAACACAGCTGTAACGGACCTAGGCAGTGACTCAGCCTGCCATCCTGGCCGTCTTTTAACTTTGGCAGCATGAATTGAAACTGAAAGACTTCTGCTGCTCTGGCTGAGGATTTTCATTTAGCCTCACCACCAAGAAAAATCAGCCTGGAGCAATGAGTGTGCTGATTTTGTTAATTCTCTCAAATATGTCGGTTGTTTGAATCACTACTGATTAAATATTCTTGACACTTTTCCTTTCTCAGTGTGCCATGACTCATCAGGTGATCACAGTGGAAGGCAAAGGCTAAATCTGTTTCTTTAAACTGTTTACTGAACGTGACCAATGGAAGAAACCGCTCCAGCTAAGATGATGAGTGGCACGTTGGTAGGCTGCATGTCTATTACCTATCTGTTCATAGTCTTCAAGAAACGAAAATATTAGCTATAAGGAAACATCACCAGGAGCTGAGTCAGACCAGAGACGTGAAGTACGGCAAGGCTGGGCTTCTGCTGCCAAACAAGCATTTCCCAGGTGAGGCAGATGGCTCTGCTGCTGCTGAAGGTCATTTCGAGGCAGAAATTTTGGCTGTGATCATGGATTTTCTCTTTGCCTTATCAGGAGTTGTGTTCGAATTCATTCCAATATTTGATTTTCTATTTCCCTAACAGTTTGAATTTTAAGATAGTAAAATGACTTGCCACAAAGAAACTGGGCCTTTCTAGAATGTTACCTGAAAGTTCACAGATACTGTGCTACTTTTAGCGTAACAAAAGTTAGATTTTCTGTTCTGTCTATGACAACATCAGGAAAAGGAGGACCTACCACCACAAATCACTCACTCCCACCCCCCTCGTCACCCATCGGGCTCTGTCAGCTGTAATCAGGGAGGGCAATCACCTTATTCAGTGTAGCAGGAGTACTGCTCCAGAAGTTAGGAGAACACATTTGCTCTTCTTAGCTCTGCCTACTCATTGTGTGACCTTGGGTAAGTCGTTTAAATTCTCTGATCTGTAATTTCTCATCCATGTAGACATTAGACAAGAATAAGATCTTGGATTTTATATTTCACTCCATGACTTCCTCCATCCCAACAAGAATTATCTTCCTGGAATGTGACTAGGATTTTATATGTGTACCTCACTCAATGTAATCTGGGATATTAGCTTAATTTAATGATCACTTGGAAAATAATCTGAAGAAAAGCTCAGATAACAAATCATATATTTTTCTTCTGCCAAGAAAGATCCTGTTTTAGGGGTTTGGTTTTGCTGACTTCAGAGATCATTTTTAAAAACATCTTTAGGTAGAGTGATATATTAGTCTATGCACAGAACTGCTGTCTCAGGGGTGGGGGGTGGGGAAGGTTTAAGGGCTATGAGCCTCGTTCTGAGGGCTCCCTGACTCCTCTCTGGGATTCCGGCCAGACACCTCACTTCTTTGTATCTGAATATCTTTATTTCTATCTGGGAGTTAGACAGTTATTGCAGCTTGCCTCAGGAAACTGTGGCAGATACAAATCAAAATCATTTGGGAACACAATGCCCATGGGACAACATCAGAAGAATATTAAAATTTTAACAGTAAGTAAAAAACTAAAAGTTGCTTCCTTCAGGCTTTGTTATTGACAGTGTAAGTGCCTCATGAGTTGGAGACTCTAACATCATCTGTAGGTTGCCATGGCAACAGCTACTGTTACCAGCCTACCTGGAAGGATCTGAATGTAAGGTAATAATTCAGAAGTCTCTCCTGGCGGTGACTCACGAAGTGCCAGGCATCTTCCTCCTCCGGTCTGTGTACTTGCCCAATTTCTCACTTGCCGCTGCATCAAGAGCCATTTTGTGCTCTGCGTTTCTCTTCTGCGGGACTACATGGTTCCATCGGCCATCGGTCTGGGATAATGCTCCTTCTCTTCCTTGGCAGATTTAGAAGGCACGTGAACTGCAGGGGAAAGCGGGGTGGAGTCACGGGGAGAATTAGAAGGAGGAAGATCTCTTGTTCTTAATTAGGAGTAGATAATGTGGGTCTATGGAATTACTCTCACGTAACTCAGTAATGCCTATTAGAGTGACTTAGCTAAAGTTCACTCTTCTTATTTTATGGCAGAGAAAGAAATATTGATTGGGGTTAAGTAAGTGGTTACAAGTTTAGCCAGTTTTGTTTTCATGTATCCGCTGTATATCGTTTCTTTTTATTTTCTCTTTTTAATAAATTCTGGTGACTTCCTGGTTAGGGTGGTGAATGGAATCAATGCTAAAACTCCCATCTTTGGCTCAAATATATAAATTATAGGTAAAATATACTTTATAAATTGAAAAGCATATGGCCACACTCAAAAACATGAAGGGGAAATATATGATCCAGAAACCAGGATATTACTATAAAATTGGCAAAACAAACAAAATCAAACAGAAACATATAGCTGCAAGCAGTTGAAGCCATGGGCCTGGCACAGTCTATCAGGAGCTCCAAAGGGAGGACGGAAAAAATGGGCGCAAAGCAGTAGTACAAGACATAGTGCCTGGAATTTCTCAGAACCGAAAAGAGATGAAAGTCTTCAGACGGATGAAATCCAACAGGGTAAATAGACTTTTTCCTTCTTCTTCTCAGCAAAGCCCCCCAGTACATAGTTGCATATTTTGGTTGTAGGTCCTTCTAGTTGTGCTGTGTGGGATGCTGCCTCAGCATGGCCTGATGAGTGATGCCATGTCTGCGCCCAGGATCCAAACCAGCGAAACCCTGGGCCACCGAAGCGGAGCATGCAAACTTAACCACTTGGTCACAGGGCAGCCCGTGGGTAAATACTTTAAACATTCACATTGAGACGCGTTATAGTGAAATTGCAGAATATTAAGGTAAAGAGAAAATCCTACAAAACAAAAATAAAAATTAGATTAACAGTAGACTTTTCTCAGTAAAAATAAATGCCTAAGAAAATAGATTGGTATCTATAAGGTTTCTGAAAGAAAAATAACTGTACTATATTGTACAGAAGGTCAAGCTATAATTTATGACGGTATTTTAAAGCATACTCGCACCTCTAAAAATAAAGACAATCATTAGAACTTTGAAAGTCTATTTTTTCAACTAACTAAATAAATTTATAGAATTAGGTGAAAGTAGTGATGTACAAGAACCAAAAGTGAGCAAAGAATCAGGAAACCATAACAGAAAATGCAAATGAATGTTTTCTATAAATAAATACAAAATAATATTTTTATGTTTAGTAACATAATGTATCTAAAATTTTAGGCAAAAATTATATGGGAGTCGGGGAAAGTTTGAAGAAAATTAAAGTGTGCTAAGATTATTGTCTTCAGAAGGAGGAGAGAGATACTGTTAAGTTTGGACTTTGTTAAGAAAATCTAAGTATGTGAATGAATGTTAAAAATTTTTTTAAATTTTAAAGGTCAACAGTGAAAGACAGAAAGGAAGAAAGAAATAGAATACATAATTTCCAATTGAGTAGAGGGGAAAAGGGGAACAAAATCTCGATCAGTTGAAGAGAAGACAGGAAAAGAAAGCAAGGAAAAATAAGCAAAGAGAAAGTATGATACGTAATACACAATAATATGGCAGAACAAGAACAAAGGTATCAGTAACCGCAAAAATACGTAAAGTACCAAACTTGTCTAAAAGATAGAGACTCTCAGAATTGAAAATAAATCCATCTGTGCACTGTTCCCAGAATTACCCAGAAATGGATCAAATGGATAGGGGAATATATATTTTGATAACATCAACATAAAGAAGCTGCTATAGCAATATTCAAGCCATCAAAATAGATTAGCTTGGTGAACAGCATTGAAAGAGTCAAAGAAAAAAATACTTAATACTAGTAAAGAAACAATTCCCCCAAACCACAAAAATTACCTTCCCAAATGTATTCTCCTGCCCAGTCCTCCTGTGATCTCAAACATAGTTGTGTAGTTTAATTTGTCAGTGCTTTTGTATTCAATTTTTAGGTAACATTTAAAGAATAATAATGCTTAGGGGTTTTTTTGTTTGTTTTTCTATTTTGCTAAGGAAGATTTGCACTGAGCTAACATGCTTGCCAATCTTCCTCTATTTTTTCTTAGTATGTGGGCGGCCAGCACAGCATGGCTGCTAACAGAGCAGTATAGGTCGGGGCCTGGGAACCAAACCCAGGCCACTGAAGCGGAGTGCACTGAACTTAACCACTAGGCCTCCGGGGCTGGCCCAACACTTAGTTTATAACGATGACAATTAAAACATATAGCTCGTTTCTTAACACAATGCCCATACTTTAGTGAAATTAAACAGAAAATGTGTTACCTGAGAAATCCTTCATACTTTGATCACGTTCTCTTTAGAGGTCGCATTCCTGATTCTCTCTTATCCCATTGGATTATGTATGCTGTAAATAAATTTTAGGAATGTTCTTCTCTCCTGCATAATTCTGAAACATAAGTATTTAAATACTATGTCAGTGCGTTTGTCCAAAAGTAGCTCTATCTTTATAAGTAGATATCTCCTGCTCTTTGTTCTGGTTATCTCTTCCCCTCAGTGGGAGGCCATTGGAGTCAACTTTAATGATGATTTTGTTGAAATATTACATTTTGTTTATTAATGCTTATATGTAATTAACAAATTTCTCAATTCTTATGTTTAAAAATGTAAATAAAACATTCAAGGTAGCTCTCCCAGTATTTATCTTTTCCCGTTTAATTAGACTACAGAAAAAAATCAAGATGATATATCTTTAGAAATAGAAGGAAACCCAAAAGTCAAGATAAATTAAACTGTTTATATCATTGAATAATTTAAAAAGCATACCTGATGTAAGAAGACTAATTGATTGAAACGTCTTGTTAATTAATTTCTGTAATATTTGTCTCCTTTGATCGAGATTGCATAGGAATCCCAGCTGGGAATGGAAAGAAAAAAATGAACTATCCCTTGCAGAACATATCTATAGGAAGGGATTAGTGATTGCTGGGGCTCAGTGTATGGTTTTGGATCAAATATTGTTTTATGACTATTATGGTTCTAGGTGGGTTACTGGGCCAGGAGAGTGGTTTCTCTTGATTTCATGCCCTCCTCTGTTAATCAAGGCCTCCTGTCTCCTGACATTAATGTTGTGCAGCAAAAATTTACTCTATCGCTTAACACAAAGCAGAAGAATGCTAATTTACTGCCATTCCCTGAACACCTCGTGTAAAGAAAACATCCTTTTAACAACAAATATGCCTCCCCAGTGCCTATTTCTTGTCAGCAGACACGGTTTAATCTCTGAGAGGCAGATGCACACAGCTTTTGGCTGAAAATACAGAGAGAAATTTTACAGCAAACACATCAAGAGGGAAATCGGGAACAGCTACAACACTCTGCTGCTCAGTTTCGGAAACCCTTCCGGAGGACGGGACAAAGCTGGCCTCCTGCCGCCTCCCCAGATTCCTTCTTTGGAGCGTAATCTCTTGAGCGATTTTTCATTATTGTCATTACTGCTTAGATCAACACCAGGCAGATTGAGTGGAAATCCTTCCAATCCATTTTTAATCTTTCAAACAAGCAAATTAGTCGTGAATTATTTATCAAGCACACCCAGGTGGGCTCTCACACGGTCACATCAGCTTTCTGCATTCCTGTAACCTAGAGTTTCTGAGCGTTGGAAATACAGCTGTCACCCCTATTTCTTTTCCTTTACCAATTTTCAATTCGTTTTCTAAAAATACTTTGATATGCCGTCCGAGTAGTGAAAGAGGTTTGCTTCTCTATTCAGAAGTGATGTCCTGAAACCGCTGAGGAAAATCAAAAAGCACCTGGGGCAACAGATGTTTAGGGTTCACGGAGAAGTACAAAGAGGGAGTTGGGGAAGGAAAAACGGAAGGAAGAAAGAAATTTTTTGCAAAAAGGAAGGTTAAGATGATAACACCTTTTGGGCAGGAAAGAGGAGTGTGGAGTGTGTATTCTGCTGATCCTACCGCGCCAGTCAGCAAACTTGTTTTGAGGAAAAAAGGCAACCAACGTGACCTGGAACTTTGTGAAGTCAACGTGGATTCTCTCCTTCCCTTGCTGACCTGAGTCTTTAGTCAACCCAAATATCGCCACCTTGTTTTACAGTGCACAGGCCTGTAGACAACATCTAGCCCCATATTACATGTACTTCTAATATACAGGCACATTTTCTGGCTACTTCACAGCCTGGAGGTTATAAAGTCCTGGACAAAATTGTAGAATTAACTCAAGCAAAACTGAGACATTCTTGCAAAAACCAAGCAAAGAATACTCTACTAGCAATGAGCGTAATGTTACTTGTGTGGTTAGAAATATGATGCTGCTAAGTAAAAGATAACTTTTAAAAGATGAATGCAAATTTAAAGTTTTTAGAATGAGTTTATGGTTTTAAAGAGTTGCAAAAGCTAACTCTCATGAGCATTTATTATATACGACAATTAATTCTCATAAAAATCCAAAGAGTTAGAAGCTAGTAATGTCCCCATTAGTTGATGAGGAAACCGGCGTATAGAGAGAATGACTAGCTTGTCCAAAGTTCCATAGCTAACGAGTGGGCCGGGGAAAGTCTGAACACAGACATTCTGCATTCAGAGCCACCATTTGAACTACTTGACGTCTGGCCTCCCTTCCACTCACTATACACAATATTACTAAAATTGTTATTGTAAAGCACTGGGGTGACTCTTTACCAGATAACAAAAATGCCTCTACAGTGTCTTGTATAAAATTTACACAAAACACTGAAGCCATTTGCAACTCTGATGGACATAACAAAACTGATGACTGCGCGGTTCTTACAGCTTTCCTTTCTGCTCTGTGCGCTTTCTGCCCAAGCCGGTGTCAAGTAATATTACTCTGAGGTGGGGAAGATGCCAAAAAGTAGACGACAGAGAATAAGTCAATGGGGCAAAGGGATTGCAAAAGGATTGCAAGGAAATGAATCAGAAATACTGTGCATTTTGGAGTCTACCAGAGACCAACAACATTAAACGTAAAATAGATCAAAGAGTAAAGAAAAAACTCTAGAAGCTATGATGTGGTGTGTACTTTCTTATGTAAAATTCACTTAATTCTCCTGGTAACGCTGTGATATAAGTATTATTAACCTTTCTAAAAGTGAGGAACCTGAAGTGAGGCGAGGCGGAGACGGAAGTCAAGTACGGCTCCTGTCGCCACACCTTTGCTGTGTCTTCTGCTGCTCTGCTCACTGTGGCTGTGACAGGCAATGAGGAGCTCCAGTTCTGGAGTCAGTCCCAAATCTTTGATTTCCAAATCATGACACCCCTGCTTATTAGCTCTATAGTTTGAGCAACGTAGTCAACCTCTCTGCAGCCTGATTTCTTTATTTATGAAATGGAAGTGGTAATGACACACAAAGAGTTGTTGTGAGGACTAATGCGCTGATGCATACACCAGTGCACAGAAGATCTGCTGGGCATGTTGTAAAGGCTCAATAAAATTTAGAAAATATAATCATCGTTCTTGTTTTTATTATCATGAGCCATTGCGACAGCAGTGCGCTTGGAACGAGGCAAGGATGTCCTCTTCACCACCGCCACTCAACAGCGTGCTGGAGGTTTTAGCTAGTGCCACAAAGCAAGAGAAAGAAAAACAGGTCATTCGGATTGGAAAGGAAGAACTATAATTATCCTTATTCACGGATGATATGGTGGTGAAATTTGGAAATCCTATGGAACGGACAGAAAAGCTACTAGAGGTAATAAGTCAGAGCTCATAACGACAGATTCAAGGTCAATATGTAAAAATCAGTTACAGTTTTTACACTAGCAACAACAATTAAAAATAGAAAACATCAGTTATATTATCTTCAGAAAACATGAAATAATTTAGAATGAATTCAACAAAATCTGTGAAAATCTTGTACACTCAAAACGATAAAACATTGCAAGGAAAAATCAAATAGAACAAAATAAGTGGAGAGATATACCACGTACTCAGCTCAGAAGACTCTGTATTGTTAAGAATTGGTTCCCCTCAAATTGATCAATCCAATCTCAGTCAACATCCAAACAGCCTTTTTCACAGAAGTTGATAAGCTGACGTTAAAATTTACATGAAAATGCGAAGAACCTACAAGAGCCAAATACTTGGGAAAAAAGGGGACAGCTTACTATATTACATGATCTCCAGACTTATTGTAAATCTATGCTAATCAAGACAGTATGGTGGAGGCATAAAGATAAACATGTAGATCTATGGAAAAGAATTAACAATCCAGAAAGAAGCGGACACTGTGCTCAACTGATTTTCCACTAATATGTGCAGGTAACTCAGTGAGGGAAATGGTAGTTTTTTCCAAGCAATGGTGTTAGAATTATTAGATATCCATATGGTAAAAATCAAACTTTCACCCTTTCTTCATCACACCACACTAAAAAGTTAACTCAAAATGAATCACAGAAGGAAACAAGAGGAAACTTTTGTGATATTAGGACAGATAAAGATTTCTCAAATGGAAAAAGTAATAGCCATTAAAAAATTGATAAATTGGACTTTATAAAAGTATGAAACTTCTGGTGTTCAAAAGATACCATTTCAAGAATGAAAAGGTAAGCTATACACTAGGAGAAAATATTCACAATCTTTGTGTCTGATAAAGAACTTGTATACAGAATATATAAAGAACTCCTACAACACAATAATGATAAGGTAAAGAACCTAGTGAAAATAAGGTAAAAAAGTGAGGATACTTCACCAAAGAAGATATACAAATGGCTATTAAACACATGAAAAGATGCTCAACATCATTAGTCATCAAAGAACTGCAAATTAAAATGACAATGGTCAAAAGGAGTTAACATTTCTTCTTTTTTTTTTAAAAGATTGGAACCTGAGCTAACAGCTGTTGCCAATCTTCTTCTTTTTTTTTTTCCTTCTTCTTCTCCCAAGAGCCCCCCAGTACATAGTTGTATATTCTAGTTGTAGGTCCTTCTGGTTGTGCAACATTTCTAATCTTTCTTATTTTAATGACTATCCCAGAACAATAACAGTACCACCCACCCCACACTCTCATCTCCACCCATTCTTTATGATGTATTTATTTATTTCCCAAATAGCAAGAGCAATGTGAAATGTCTTCAGTTGTCGCAACTTGGGGGAGGGGTGCCCCAGGTGTCTTGTGTGTAGAAGTCATGGATGCCGCTAAACATCCTCCTATGCAGGGGACAGCCCCCTGTAACAGAATTATCTGGCCCAAAATGTCAGTGGGGCTGAGGTTGAGAAACCCTGAGTTAGGTGATCTGGCTATGTGCTCTCAAAACATCCTGCCCATACCCCTGTAAAACTTACCATATTGTTGATAGTTACCATTTACAAGCCTGTCTCACCTACGAGGCTGAGTAACTGAGGGCACTTAGCTCGGTGCTGCCCGGTACATGCTAGGTGTTCATTCTATGTTTCGCTCATACAGCTTATCCAACTACATTTTACTGAGACTTTCCCAGGTGCTGGACTCAGTTCTAGACTAGAGCACAGTGATAAACAGGATTAAAAAGAAATCCCTGACCTCATAAAGCTCAACTTTTGCTGGGCAAACTGACATTGAATAAGTAAAATGTAGATAAACAAGCTCATTCCAGGCTGTGATGAATCTTACACTGGCAGTAAGACAGGTGAGGAGACTGAGAAACCAGGGGAGGCTGCTTTGGATAAGATGGCGAGGAAAGTCTTTCCGAGTAGGTGGGCTTCCAGCTGACAATTGAAGGCTGAGAATGAATTAGCCACACAAAGAGCTCGGAGAAGAGTTTTCTGAGCAGAAAGAAGGGCAAGGACTCTTGACAGATGTATGTGTTATAGATGAAGGGATGAATACATTCATACGTTGATTAACGGTATTTCAACAACAACTTACTTTGCAATCTACATTACAACTTTTTTGATATTTCCCTCTCAGTGCTTTTCCCCACTTATCAAGCAAGTGAGAATATAAAATTCTAAGTGCATTTTCCTTCTTTAAGAAATTGTGTTGTGTATCTGTCATTTGTACACATAAATTCATAACCAGGCAAGCATGCCTTGGCAGTCCTATTAAATTGTGTACATATGAGTTATGAATGAGTTTGTTTACTAGGTCCAAGAATTGCACATATCCCCAGGGCTAAGAAATTCTCAGGAAGTCTCTGCCAACTCCAGAAAATTATAGTCTTACATGAATCCCACAAGGAGGGAGAAGGGATTATCTTATCATCCCTGTGCTTTTTCCTACCATATAGTAAGCAATTGCTGCTAGAGCGACAAATACCAGAGAAGAAGAAAATTGATAAAAATAACACTCACTTCTCACAGATCTTTTTTTCCCTCAGAAGCTCAGAGAACTATATTCAAAATGAAAATGTAGAGGTGACATTGAGAAGTTGGACAAGTAAAAGAATTGAGGGGCTTGTAAATGAGAGACACATCAAGTAACACCTGTTTCTCTCCCTGCTATGACAGGCTGTGTGTAAATGTTTCAACTGGACTTGGATGTCTGAGGGTTTTCAGTGTGACATATCAGCTTCCCAGAGAAGACTAGAGAGAAAGAACAACTCTGTGGTCACAATATATGCCAAAATTATATAGCACAGTTTCAGAGAAGGGCTTGAAAGAAAATTGGAGATCAGTAATGGGCTCTCCCCTAGATATTACTCTTTGGTTCTCAATTCAAGATGGAGGCAGGGTTATGAGCTGTATACTTGCATGTTGCCTGTCTAAAGCATATGTAAAAATGCTACTCATTGGCTGAATTCATCTTTCCCACTTGAGTGCAGGCTCCTCTACAGATAGAATTTCAAGAGGGCACCCGTCCACACACCAAAAACCCTGGTAATTTAAAAAAAGGTCTCCCCACTTACTGAAAAATCCACTATCAGAACTTAATTTAGATGAAAGCACTGAATTCTGTTAATGTGAAAATAACCCTGGTAAACGAATTTTGCATCCTTTCTGCAAAGTAGTTTTTGATAACGATGAGACAGTGTGAAAGCACTGAGCACGTAAGACGGTAGGAAAGTGGAGAAAAGACACCAAATGGTGAGCCTTAATCACCACAAGTAAATTTCCCCCACCTCAAAATTTTTGTTGTGGAAAGTTTTGTCTCTCTGTTGTTGGTTTAGGTTTCTGGCAATTTGGCAAGCAAGATATATGAGACAGAATGATTCAGAGCATATACAGGAAACTTCCAAGAGACAGTGGTTTAAAAAACAAAGGAGTTAACTCTCTTTTATACAAAAAGAATTTCCTACTCAAGCTGCTATTGTGGCTCCTCAGAATCATCAAGAACCAGGACAATTATGGTTTTCTGATCAGTCATTAAAGATACACAAATTTTTTTAGTGGACCAAGATGGCTGCGAGAGCTCCAGTCATCCCACTGACATTCTAAGCAGCAGGACGAGGGAAAGAAATAAGCTAAGGAGAATCCCAGAGGTTCAACACATTACTGCTGACAGCTATGTGAGGAGCACGTAGTCAAACATGCAGACCTCGATCCAAGAGGAAATGGGAACTGTGTCTTCTACTAGAGGTAGCTTTGATCAGTGTCTTTTACTGAGAAGGAAAGAGAATTTGGATATTGGGGAAGGCAGTGAGCAGGTGCCACACCACTTTAGAGAATATAAAATCATTAAACTACAAAACATTCATAAATTTCAGATAAAATATAATAAATGTGATCTTAAAATTCACTTCTGAGACTTCCATATCCATCCAAGATAGAGTAACAGGAACCAGACTTACCCTCCACCCAAAACAACCAAGAAAAAAACAAACCAAAAGAAACTCCAGGACTAATGGTTTTCAAGGACTTGAAGCAATGAAGGACAGCAATCATTGAGAGAACAGAAATGAGGTGAGCTCTGTGATTGCCCCAACTTATTGCCTTGAGTTTCCAGGTCATAGCACCAGCAGGGAACCCAGGCAAATCCTGGGGGACACGCTGGGTTCAGGAGATGAAGCCGAGAGTCTGGAAACCAAGACAGCTAGAGTTTGCAGACCAGAGTACTGGAGATGAGAGAGCTTCACAGAGAGAACTCTGACGTCTGCAGAATCCTCCTGCAGCATTCAGCAGACTACTGACAGTATATCAACATGAAGAAATCATCCAAAATTAGGACAGGAACCAAATCAGAGCATTAGAGAGTGTTGCTTGGCATTCACAAAGGGCTGGCAATACTGTCTGTTCCTACCAGGCGGACTGGAAAAACCATAATTCACAGGGCAATGGGTAACAACCTCAGGAAGTTGCCTTAGTAGTTGAGAGTAATTCCATTGAGCACTACTCTGACCTGCGAAACAAACCATGAAAGGATCATATTGTTTGTATCCTTGTTTTTAAATTCATTGGCTCCCAGAACAAATCTCAAAAATATGTATAGGAATACAAAAATAGACACCTAACAAGGTAAAGTTCCAATATCTGGCATCCAATCAACTAATGAGTGAGTTTAGCAAGGTTGCAAAGCATAATTTAATATGCAAAAATAAATTGTATTTCTATACACCAGCAGTGTACAACCAGAAATTGAAATAAAAACACTATTTCAGAGGCCGGCCCCGTGCCGAGTGGTTAAGTTCGTGCGCTCTGCTTCAGCAGCCCAGGGTTTCACCGGTTGGGATCCTGCGCAAGGACATGGCACTGCTCATCAGGCCATGCTGAGTTGGCGTCCCACATGCCACAACTAGAAGGACCCACAACTAAAATATACAACTATGTACTGGGGGGATTTGGGGAGAAAAAGCAGAAAAAAAAAGAAGATTGGCAACAGTTAGCTCAGGTGCCAATCTTTAAAAAAAAAAACAAAAACACCATTTCAAACAATAGCAAGAATATGAAATACTTAGGGCTAAAGTATTCACATCTGTCCAAAGATGTGAAAGACCTATATCCTGAAAACTGTAAATGACTGGTTCATGTGGCCCGAGTGGCAGAGACACTTCATCTTAGCCTGGACATATTGCAGAGCCTTTTCTTTGGGTCTCTTAGAAAATGGAAGCCTTCAGAGTCCTCCAATGAATGGGACAAAGCAGCGTTCTGTAGTACAGTACATATTTTCTCCAACATCCAGAGGCCCGCCAAGCACAGTGCCTCTTTTCTTGTGGCAGGAGGTGTGAGGTGCAGCAACAAATTCTTCATCCCAGTGGGGAACATCCCAGTGCTGCCTAGTCCATTGACTGCAGAAAACTTTACCAATATGGTAGACTCCTGAATCTCCATGGGGCTTATCTCCCACTTTCTGCTACTGGGGCATCATCCAGGGTACTTCCCACTTCTTGCTCACAAGATCAAATTAGTATGATATCTTCAATATAGTGGACCAGTGATGTTCCATGAGATATCAAGATGACTATAGTATGTAGACACATTATGACAGAGAGCAAGAAAGGTAGCATAGCTCTAGGTCAAGACAATAAGTTTGTCCTTGCCATATAAAATCAAACTGCTTTTGATCCTTTCTACTGATTGAAATTGAGCAAAACACATTTACCAAATCGATAGTGGGATACTGAATACCGATGGCTATGTTGATCTGTTCCAATAAAGCTGCCATATTTGGTGTGGCAGCTGCAAGTGGGGCTACCACCTGTTTACAGTTACAGTATTCTAATATCATCCATGTTTTTTCACAGGAGCAAGACTTAAACCTTGAGATGATGGGGAGCACCACCCCTACATCCTTTCAGTCTTGTATAATGGCACTAATCTTTGAAATTCTCCTTGGATGGTATTGCTTTTAATTTACTCTCTTTGCCAAGGGTGGTGGCAATTTCAGAGTCTTTCACTTGCCTCTTACTAGGATTACGGTCCTTGCTTCTCAAGCCTATGGTCAAATGTAAAAGTTCTGTTTGTGCCAGGAATATTTATTCCAATTACACATTCAAGACCAGGAAAATTACCACAAGATGGATCTGTGGACTCACTGGATCCACTGTAAGATGGACTTGGGCCAGGACTCCATTTATCAAATAGCCTGCATAAATTTTACTTTATCCCTGGCCCTCAAAAAGTCTGAATATTTTCCTTTCTCCAGTGGACAGTTAGCCTGGAAAAAAGTCACAGGTCTCCCTGGGGAAGGACTGGAGAGAGATATACTTGTGATGACATTGCAGGAACTTCCTCAAGGGCACACCCTCTGCTTCAGTCAGTTGGCTCTGGGTTGGTGAACTGGCTTAGGTTGCAATTTCCTATTATAATAGCTGACATCAGCCCACTACTCACCAGCTCTCATTTTAAAAAACTGTTGTTGTTGTTCTACAAATGAGGTAACACCCTAGTCCATTGTCCTTCTATTTTGACCCTAGAAACATCATGATCTAGTAGCTACCACTCTAGATTCCTGTGGATCAAGGCATCCTGATTGTTATTTCACTCTTTCTGTCCATTGCCAAGGTGACCAAGGATTTACTGTCAAAACCAGGGCACTTTGGAGATTGAAAGCTGGCACTATTAATAATTATACTGGGAGAACACACAAAAACTGTCCTGAGCAAACTATGACATATGTTGACCCTCCTCATTATGGTATTTAGAGCCATCTTGCCTCTGATGACTCAGTGCTGCCACCTGGCTTCTGCCCTTTCTTAATCCCTTCATCCTCCTGAATTCCAAGGACCCCGCACCATCCACTCCAGCCTATACAAGAGGACAACGATTAAACTTCTCAAAGGTGTTGGTGACTCCTTCACAGGCACAGTCTTTATTGCCTTTGGAGAGGGAGCATCCTTTGGGACCTCTCATGAACTGCTGGATGGTAGGTCCTCAGGAATTACACAGTAAAGCTATTCTAACATTCCCATATCCCTTTCCCAATCTCATGCCAAGGAAATTCTGGCACCTCCACTTCATTTACTGCAGGCTATTGCTGATCTGGCCTCCACAGAGCCATCCCAGCAGACTGTGAGGACTGGATTCAGGTGTCTTTGCCAAATAATTGGATCCTGAGTCATAGGTGAGTGTCCATATCAATAGCTCTCTTCTATCTAGCCTTATATTTCACAGTCCTCTCTGGCCCAACGCTCTAAAGACCTGGTCCCTCCCATGTTCCCCTAGCTCATGCCTGTATATATGATCCATATTATACAATTCCCTTAACATGTAAGCTATTTCTTCCTGGAGCAGATTACTTCCTCATCCAACTTGTGCTGAAATCTGACCCTTGTTTTCAGCCTGGGGGAATGGAGTGGGGGAGGGGGTGAGCTAATAATTGGCACCACCTTATGAGACACCTGCTATAGTGGAGGTCATTGCCTGGTCTCCAGGTACGAGAAGGCCTCTCTCCCTAGCAAGTGGGGGGTCTGCTTCTGCCGTTCTAGGGGGCTTAGAAGAATTTAGGCATTTCAGACTCAGGTTCACCTATCTGAATGCCCCAGCTCCAGATTTCAGGACCCCATTCTTTTTCTATCAAGATGCTGTCTTTCACAAAGGAACCTGTCAAGTTCGCGCAGTCCCCTTTGCAGCACGGTCACCCTTAGAAACAGACTCAGGGCCTGGTTCTCCTACAGTCTCCCCTGTGGCTGCAGGAGTTGAGCGTTGTCTTATAAACTGCTCGGGAGGCTGTATCCGTCAGGGTCTGAGTGTTTCCTCGCCCTTAGTGCACAGTCACGAGATGGGATGGCTGCAGCGCCTGTTCGAGGAAAGCTTAGAGGAAGATTTATAGTATATGTTGTGGCCCGGTTGCAGGGGGCTTTCCCAAGGGACCCAGCTTCTTCTTCAATCAAAGGGCTTTAAGATGGAACTGACTTAGGTCTCCGAGCTAAATGAGGGGCTTTGACTCTCCATTGTGGTTGCTCGAGTCAGCGTTCTGGCCACGAGATCTGGATTTTTCTCCATGTTGTAAGGATCAAGGAACATTTTAGTAGAAATGTTTCCTTTCAGTGGCTGGTGGCCAAACATTTTGATTATCCCTTCATCTGTGATGCTTATCACTGGAAATGTGTCTCTATTATCTCTTGCAGGTAAGTGCTGCCAAGTGGCTCTGCTATGCCGGGATTCCAGCATCCTCACTGAAACCAGGGGACCCATTGCAAAGGCAGCGTCAGCCTGGTCTGCGGAGGACAAGGATCACAAAGCTATTCTAGGATGCTGAGGGTCATCTCGCCAATGTATTGCTAATGCCCTGGTGAAGGAAGTGTCTTCTGAGCCGTCCAGGATGATGGCATGAGGGTGGGCAGGGGCGTTAGCATACAGGTCACTTACGATAAATCTACTCCAACATCCACCTCCTCTGAAACCTTCAAATGCCCTCCTCTGCCTTATGTGGGAAAGTTCCGCATCTCCATCTCAGTGAACGCAGGCCGCCATTGAACCCAAGTTCTGCCAACCAACCAGGCAAACCATTAGAACCACTTCTGGATGTGAAAGACAACATGTTACATCCATAATCTCTAGGAATGCTACTCCTTTCAATTTATTTGACTCAATGCAGTTATATAACAAAGTATCTTAAGGAGCTGGTTAAACAGATATCGAAAGATGGAAAAGGCAAAAGGAAAACATTGACATAGCACAGAAACAAGAGCACAGAAAGGAGCTGCCATTCCAAGGGCTGGGAACAAAGGACCGAGGCCAGACTGATGAAGCGTGGAAAGCTCCGTGCCACAGGAATCCGGCCTCTGTGGAGGGGGCTGGAGGCGGGCGTTTCTGCAGGGGGATGTGGACAGGCCCAGAACACGAAACGGGAAGGAGCTGGTTGTTCCTCCTCCTCCAGGCTTCCAGTCTCCCTCTAGTGCTCCCTTTCGGAAAAACCTAACAGGGAGCCTGCTGCTAAAACAGAAGTACAGCTCAGAGAGCATCACAAAGCAAGGATATACAGAAAAGTGGGCTTGGAGCTGAGAAACAACAGCCTAGTAAGCAGCAAGGTGCCCCTCAGACTGGCACAGAGGCAGCTGGCTCAACCTGACCTTATTTGGGTTGCCCAGTGCCGGGAACAGGTCCAGTCTGCTCCATACTCCTTATGCCTCGAATTGTTCCCGTATCCCCTAAGATCTAATATGTGTTACACCCACAGCACATGCCACAGCCTCAGTTTCCCCCATAGCTCATCCCAATTAACCCTAGATGAAAGCCTTATGATTCAGATGCTGCTGCAAGCAGGAGTCATCGCCACCTCCACTGACCACCAGCCGCAGGGTCCCTATTGACATCGGACCAGAGAGAAACACCACTCCAGAATCCTCTCCTGAAGGGTCTGCTTTCAACGGTTATCCCTGGTGCCAGGGGTTCTCAGCTGGGTTCTCCAGAGCTTAGAGCCTGAGGCAAACCTTCCTCTGTTGCCACTTTATCTGAGAGTACGAGCCCAGGAGGGAAGGAAAACGGGAAAGAGGCAGGGGAGCAGGGAGAGTCACCCCGAGGTATGTTACTGAGCATGCTTGAGCCAATGGGATGCTTGACTCTGCAGGATCCTGGGAATCTGTGAACTACTACGTTTCAGGACAGACTGGGGGATGGTGGGAGCGAGGGAGGTACATCATTTTTCTGCTGGCTCCCGTGTCCCTTTGCTGTAAGATTCCCTCTCTGTGATTCTCTTTAAGATTCACTTTCCTGCAATTCTGGTTTGAATGCACAGGTGCTGAGCCCCTCCTAGAGCATCCAGTAGCCACAGGCACCCTGGAGGCAGGAGGTGAAAGTCACATGGCCTGGGCAAGGGACGAGGCACTGCCTGGTTAGAGTGAGCCATGGTTCGTGCTGGAGCGGTCACCGTAGGAGCAGCCAGGGGAAGGTAATAGTGCAAAAGGGCCCTGGGGAGGCTGAAGACATCTGAGTGATGTCTGTTACAAATATTGTGTATAACAACAAAAGATGGGAAACAACCCAAAAGGCTAGCAACAGGAGAACCGCTGAACCAAATATTATGCAATTAATATTATGTAGCTGTAACAAAAAATTAGAAAGCATTTTATGTACTGTTATGGAAAATCTATAAAATATATTACTAAGTGAAAAAGAAAGGTACAGATGAACACTTACAATATGCAACCTTTCATTAAACAGTAGGAAAATGAGGGGGCCGGCTCAGTGGTATAGTAGCTAAGTTCACATGCTCTGCTTCAGCAGCCCAGGGTTTGCAGGTTCAGATCCCAGGTGTGGACCTACACACCGCTCGCTCATGAAGCCATGCTGTGGCAGCATCCCACATACAAAATAGAGGAAGACTGGCATAGATGTTAGCTCAGGGAAAATCTTCCTCAGCAAAAAATTTAAAAAGTAGGTAAATGAGAGTCTATATCTATTAGTACATGCATGAAGAAACTCTGGAATGCCACATGTGAAACTAAAAAGAGTCTTCACCCGTGGGTACCATGGTGAGATCTGAGCATATGAGGACAGGTATGGGAAGTCTGGTTTCCACTATAATGTCTTGTACTTTTGGGCTTTTGAGCCATGAGAATGTATTAGCTAAGCATTCAATATAAGGAAATGAGGGTAGGGGGTGGGGTTGAGGAAGTTTTAGAGAACACCCAAAAAACCAAAAAGTAGGGAAATAACTATCACGGTCTCATAGACACAAAATGCTGAAATAGACAAACATGACAAGGATAATAAAGATGAGGGACTATTTTTTTAAAAACCCAGAAGACCCTGTTCTTGGAAAAGTTTAATAAGATAGTCGTGCAAGACTAATAAAAAAAAGAGAGAATATGAAAAAAAATACAGAATGAAAAAAGTGATAAAAATGCAGATGCAATAATACAAACAGGTGCATGCCAACAAATTTGAAAACTTGGATGAAATGGAAAAATAAGATGCTAAAATTAAAAAGTGAGAATTTTAGGAAAACACTAAGAATTAAAGAAATTGAACTGGTAGTCAAAGACCACCACTCCACCCCATCGCACCCCCGAATTATCCCAGGCCTGAATGGCTTTCCAGTGGGTTCTACCAATATTTCATGGGGAGGTTAGTTCCTATTTGATGCAGGCTTTCCTAAAGTTGGAGCAAAAGCTGCCCAGAACATTTTATGAGGCTAATAAAATCTTGACCCCAAAAACATAAGGACAATCAAGAAAAGAAAATTACAGACCGTTTCTCTTATCAACATACCTTCGAAATTCAAGCAGAATCCGACCACGTATTACCTCCTAACCATCCAAGCTGCCACCATTGCTCATCTGGACTTTTGTGACAGGACCACCCCGTTTCTATGCCTGGCCACTGTCATCTAGTCTCCACGGTGGCAAGAGTGGCTGTTAAAAATGGAAGACATCGCTTTCTCGTTTCTTTTGGGTATCTCTTCATACAACAGGGCTTCATCTCCTTCCACAGTCCCATCACTCTCTCTCCTTTGCTCTGCATTATTTTGTTTTACTTATTGCCACCAGATCCATTATATGTTGCTTTGTTTGTGCTTTGCTGTCTCTCTCCCCACTCCAGAGTTACATTTCACGAGACCAGGGATTTTGTTCTGTTGCTACTATTTTTTCTGTACTTAAAAGAGTGGCTGGCACAGAGTAGATACTCAAATAGTTGCTGAGGAATGTCATTTACGTAAATAGAACTACATGGAAAATAACACTGTACATGGTACAGTATTTTCATATATGTGAAAGTCCCAGAGACACGCATATAAATGCTAGCTGCCAAATGCAGGAGGAGGTGGTCAGGACATGGGGTAGTGTTTTATTTCTATGTTGAGTGATAGGTATGTTGGAATTTGTTATATTATTTTCCTTACCTTTTTTGGGGGTACCTGAATAGTCAGGATATTAAAGGCCAAGAGTATAGACTCGAGAGCCTGACCAAGTGGGTTTGAATTCTGTCTCTGCCATTTAGAAGCTGTGTGACCTGAGAAGTTGCACTTAACCTCTCTGGGCTTCAGCGTCTTCCTCTGTAACAGGATGATCACAATATCCATCTTATCAGTGAATATATGCAAAGCACTTAGGAGACAGTCAGTGCTCTGTAAGACTCTTCCATGTTTCCTGCTACTGTTCAAATTCAGTAGAGGATTCTACTCTGAGCAACAAAATACAACAGCCCCTCTTGGCGTGACCCATCCTTGCATCTTAATGAGCACAGAATAGAAGAAAGAGACATGTTTATGTTTAGATTTTGGCCATGCTACTTACTAGCTCTGTGGCCTTTAGCAAGTTCTTTCCCCTTTGTGATCCTCAGTTACTTCTCCTGAAAGATGGAACTAATCATTTACTATTTCACCAGCAAACATTGATCGAACATCCACTATGTTCAAGTACATGAGACAACGTCTAACAGATAATGTTATTAACACTTGCTGCCTGGAACAATGCTAAGGTCTGCGTGATAGCGATAGCAGATACAAAGACCCTGTTATTCAAAGCCTTCCATCCTGGTGGTGGAGACTGTTGGGCCCCTAGATAACGCGTAATGCAGTGCAAAAAGTTCAGCAACAGAAATAGCGTAGAGAAGGGAGTGGTTACAATATGACAGAGTCCAATAATGTTAGTGCACAATCTGCATTGTGCTAAGCTCACAGTGAACAAATCTGAGTTGTCCCCGTGCCCCCTTTGGTGGTCTATGGACATTAAGTGCAAAAAAGAGACAATGGGAAGCAATTAACGATCATGATGCATTTAAGAATGAGTTTTTAACTAGAAAGAATATTAAATCACATAAACTACCATAAGGAGGGTTTACTATTTATATTTCAACACCTGAAAAACAGAAGGGAGGGGCCGGCCTGGTGGTGTAGTGGTTAGGGTCGTGCTCTCTGTTTTGGTGGCCCGGGGTTCACAGGTTCAGATCCTAGGTGTGGACCTACACAATGCTTATCAAGCCATGCCATGGCAGCATCCTACACATAAAATAGAGGAAGATGGGCACAGATGTTAGCTCAGGAGTAATTTTCCTCAAGCAAAAAGAGGAAGATTAGCAACGCATGTTAGTTCAGGGACAATCTTCCTCACCAAAAAACAAAAACAAAAACAAAAACAAAAACCCAGAAGGGAAAATTCTGATAACAAGTGAAAAGCATTAGGGCATCTATATACTATTGAGCATCATAAATTGAAATTAGTCCTAAGAACTAACAGTGTATGAGAAGCATTTACTGCCAGCCGTGTGGTTATATTTAGCTTCTCAATATAAACCAAGAAATTATTTTTCCACTGTTTTCATTTCCTCTATGTTTCCATACAAATAATTCCTTAAACATGCACATTTCAAAGTATCCTGATTTCTAAAAGTGCCACTGGACTCAAATGACATTTTATTGAAACAAAAAGTCCTCTACTGATAATAATTTAGTCGAAAGAAAACAAGGTTTTAGTGTTAGCAAATGGAGAAGGCACTGACCTGTCCTGAGTGTTTCAGCCGAGACATCCACGGTCTCTGTTAAGTTTCCATCTTTCTAAGCCTCAAATAGGGCACACACAAGCACGATTACAGATCGGGTGGAATTTGTCTTCCCAGC